ACGATTATAGCAATGATGTTCGTATTTACAGTATTGTTGTGAGAAAGTGTATACTTCAAACGCCGTGGTTTGCCACAGCGTCGCACAGGGTACAAATTTGGTTTACCGAACGGCGTAAAACATATTTTAGCAGAATTAAAGAAAATTAGGGGGGGGCTTTACCTCCTGCTCGCTTCGCTCGCCAACCCCCGGGCCGGTTCCTTTTTTTCATTGCCCACTCACCCCCTCGTGAAAAAGCTAGGAGACGCAATAAAGCAATGAAAAAAAATCAGCTTAGCTCCGCCGAAAGTAGTTACATTAATATCCCGAAAAAAGTTTAAATTTGTAGACTCTTGGCGGCGACCAATTCGACGTGCCACCATGGTTACCGTTAATTTTCATTAACTTAAAATATTCATACTCACATTTAATGATCTTACCATAAAGATCTAAACCTGAAATGAAATCGCAAAATTGTTTCCAGTCGTAAATTCCCTAAATAGAGAGTTCCCGTCGGCAGTTACTCCAATTCTAGCTGGGCTTAGCTCTGAGAAGGGCTGATTAAAACAGCTTAAGTTTAGCCCTGAAAAGGGCTGATTGGAATTGGATTCCGACATGTTGTCAGTTGAAAGCATAATGAAATACTCAATATCTGTTGTTCTCCCAATAAAGAAAGAGAGAGAGAGAGAGAGTGAGTGAGTGAGAGAGAGAGTGAGTGTGCGAGAGAGAGGGAGGGAGGGAGAGAGAGAGAGTGAGTGAGAGAGAGAGAGAGTGAGTGTGCGAGAGAGAGGGAGGGAGAGAGAGAGAGAGTGTGCGAGAGGGAGGGAGGGAGAGAGAGAGAGTGAGTGAGTGTGCGAGAGAGTGAGTGAGTGAGTGAGAGAGAAATGGAAGAGATCTTATGATAAAAATCTTCCTTAAGGTCGCGAATTGTAATCCGTTTTTAACGGATTTTTTTTATTCGATTAGTCTTAAATAGCTGTTTAATACTACGTAAAAAAGATACAGTCCTCGCGGAAAATCTTTTCCAATATTTATCCGAACAAAAATATAAAATAGCTAACTTCCGGATTAAAATAAGTACTGATAGCAATCGTTTACAAATTTCAAATTAGACCTATTTTATTGAAAAATGTTCCTCTTTCCAACTATGTTACAACAAAATGACTTGGTTTCTTAAAGTTTAAAGAAAGAAAATACCGAGAGTAGTGAAAAATTCTATTACAAAGTTGCGTTTACCTTCCTCTATCTTTTTCTTTTTCTAAACCAATAAAATCGAGGTCCTTCTCTCTCTAACACTTCGGCCAAAACTTTTTTAATATTATAGAGAGATAGAGACATTCTTGCTGAAATATAACAAATAACATTGGCAACCAGTTCCTACGCAATTTCAATGAACAGTACAACACATTTTTAAATGTAAGAAATACCCAATTACAGCTGGTGTCGTTCTGATTTTATCTGGAAATAAAAAATTTAGAATAAAAAGAGATTTTTGGATAAAAAACCGGATAAAAAAATTTGTTATTTACATTTATCTACTATTGGCTTGTCTGTAAAATAATGCAAGTTTACAGTGATAAAATAAAAACGATTAAATAAATTAATCTGAATATTTTTTATTTGTTTGGTGGTAATAATTGACCATATTATTTACTCCAATTAATAATTCGTTGAGTTGAAAAATTGGTGTCACGAGCGGGATTCGAACCCAAGACCTTTCGACGTGACACGATAGATCAAGTGGTTAGAGCAGCGGCCTATTGAGCCGAAGGTGTGGGTTTGAATCCCGCTCGTGACACTAATTTTTCATCTCAACCAAAATTCTTAGATAAAAAGAATAATTAAAAGGATTTTTGTATTAATTAAAATACCCTCCATCACTCACAACACGCTTCGTAGATAGAAAAAGAATTTTGAGTCTAATTATTAACAAATTCTATAAACGTATTTTTTAAAGATGTTTGATCAATACACTTTTTATGTTGGGAAACGTTGTTCAGGTGTCTGAAAAAATGGTAGTCGGTAGGCGACAGGTATGGAGAATAGGGAGGGTGAGCATGTGAGACGTGTGGCCGATCGTTGTCGTGTATCAAAAATTGACCTTTCCCAATTGACCAAAGGTGGCTTCAATAATGCCAAATTCTGGTGCTTTGCTTCAGAGCTTGTTCAGAGCAATACATTCGGCAGTGATTGTTCCGCGATGATTCTGTAAAAGGTAGTCAATCTGCCAAATTGAAGCCCAGCAAAGGTCGCCATCACCTTTTTTTCATGAATTGGGGTTTTGGAGAATTTCGTGCTGCTTCTCCTTCGTCGAGCCACTGTCCAGAACTTCTGCTGTTATCGTATCCATCTTTCATCACAAGTAACAATTCTATTTCATTTCAATAGACACAAAAAATTTAATCTTATCATTTAGTTGTTTGCATTCTAAACTAAAACAATGCTTAACGACTTTTTTAGAATACTTTTTTTGCTAACAACCTCGGAGTTCCGGTGTTCTTTTCCAGTTTTTACCCTGCAAAAAGCCCATTTGGTATTATGTACTCTATCGAATTCAGCGCCGCTGAGGTACAAACCTGGGCCACTTCCAGTGATAAGTCATCGCTGAAGCTACCTACACCCCTGTTACCTTTGTTGGACTTACGGTTGAGGTCTACGGGTTGATGAAGTTGTAGTTTAGTGTTTTTGATTATACCCGTCCATCTATCCTTGCTACTTTGGTTTGTGGTTTGTCATACACATTTCAGTATTTCGCATATCATGTGACCATGACTGGCCAGGCCAAAAAATATTTTTAAGGTGTACTCAACATGCTATCAGGCTGTCCGGAAAATAATGCACATTTATGGTTATAAATTAAATAAATGATTTAAACATTTTTTATTGATTAAAATACCCACCATCACTCTAAATACACTTCTCCCAACGTGATGGTCAACTGTTCTATACCCTCTGAATAGAATGTTGAGTTTTTATCATTAACAAATTTTGTAAACGTATTTTTTAACGACTTTTGATCAATAATTTTTTTATGTTGTAAAACGTTGTCCAATTGGGTAGTCTGAAGGGGAGAGGTCTGGAGAATATGGACGGTGAGGCAGACCTGATAACGAACAATTTTCGTGTTGCCACAAATGAGGCTGGAGCCGAGCATTGTCGTGAACATAATCGGCCTTTTATTTTCGATCAAAGTTGGCTTCAATAATGCCAATTTCTGGTGTATTTCAATTTGAGAGCAATATATTTCTGCATTGATTGTATCGCCAGGATTCAAGAAGCTGAGGTAATGAAAGGAAGTCCACCAAAGAGTCACCATCATTTTTTTGGTGGGTTGGGGGTTTTGGAAAATGTGATGTTTCTCCTTTCTCAAGTCACTGTCCAGAACATATGCTGTTAATCCACTTTTCATCCCATCTATCCAGAAAAGGTTTTTAGTTGAGATAAAAAAGTCAGCGTCACGAGCGGGATTCGAACCCACGACCTTCGGCTAAATACGCAGCTACTCTACCACCTGAGCTATGGCGACATCGATCCTCGCGGACAATAACTTCCCATTTCAATCCTATCTTTTGAATTTTCCCTCCTTTTGTCATTTTTCATCCCGCTCGTGACGCTGTCTTTTTTATCTCAACTAAAAACCTTAATTAATTGAAAGATATTAATTGGTCAAGCGGACCACGAAAACTAGTGAATTTAATAAGTTAAAATGAAGTATATCTTCACTAAAGCTCTCCGTGGACATTTCATTTCTCGCCGAGAATCAAATAGATTACACGACATTTGAAAAATGGCAAAAAGGAGGGAAAATTCGTGGCGATGAGATGGGAAGTTAGTGTCCGAGAGGATCGAAGCTCAGATGGTAGAATAGCGGCGTATCTAGCCGAAGGTCGTGGGTTCGAATCCCGCTCGTGACGCTGACTTTTTTATCTCAACTAAAACCTTCATTAATTGAAAGATATTAATTGGTCAAGCGGTCCACGAAAACTAGTGAATTTATCCAGAAAAGGTTCGTTTCTGTTTCGGCAAAGAAAACTTTTTACTGTCGTTTAATGCATGAGGAAGGGCTTTCAAACTTTTCCACCTTTCCGATTGTCTTAAGGTAGCAAACGACGGTACATTTGCTTACTGATAGATTCTCTGCAAGTTCTCAAACAGTTCTGGGATTTTCTTCAACCAAAACTCGCAGAACGTCATCATCTAAGGAAGAAATCCTTCCAGGACCTTCTCTATCTCTGCTAAAATATATCTCTCGAAATTTTTCAACCATTTCTGATCGGTGCCCTCACTTACACTGCCATCCCCCTAGACTTCATTATTGTTTCTGGCATTTGAGATCCGTTCCGACCGACTTTAAACTCGTAAAACGAAATTTCGTGAAAATCACGCGTTGATCTTTGTAAATGCTGAATTATTCCCAAGTAACGAAATGTTACCTAGGGTAAATAAGCATTTCTGTTTGGAAGAGGAGTAAAATGTGTTGTCATTCGTACAAAAGATCCATCAAACTTAAACAGTTTGATATATAGAAGGTAATTGAAAGTAAATACTGCATTATATTCTGGTCAACAGAATAAATTAGGCATATATTTTACTAAACCATCTATAACAGAACTAATCAATACACATCCTTTTGTTGATTCGGTTATGCGATACGAAAAAAAGATTCTTTTTTAACGTGACAATTGAGTGGGAAAGAATTACTATTGGATTAGAAATTTTCCTTTCAAATCGAAATTGTCAGTTATCCGGTGGGCAAACATACAAATCGGCCGTATCATCGCTGATCGATTCGCCGAGTCGGTCAGCTCACTGCGTGCAAAAACGACGTCAGCCCGCGGGCCAGCCACCCCCGGCAGAAATTCCAGCCGGTCCTCCTTCCATTCTTCCGGGCCCCTGGCATCTAGGACGTTCGACGCAAAGGAGGTAGGATAATAATACGGGGCTCGGCGGACCCCTTCTCCTGGGCAGGGCGAGCTTATCAATTTGAGCTTAGCGCTTGCGCTTTCGTCGCTTAGCAACCTCCAGGGGGGGCCCCTTTTTGCTCAGTCTTGTGTAGCTCGCGTTGCCAGTCGTTACTCTCACAAGATGCGTCAGGTAAGTGGAGAAGAAAAACGATATATTCTATCGCTCTAGCCATTTTGACAGATTGTAATGTGATATTTTTTTAAATAAATCTTTTCCTTCACCTACTGGACAGCCACAGATACCCGTTTTTATTTATTTAAATCCAGGTAATTAAATCCATTAATTAAGCGCTGATGAAAACATAAAGGACGAAACGTGTTAAAATTTAACAGCTAGTTCATCACCAGTACATATCGGAATTGTACATATTAAAAATTTCTATACAATCCTATATAAATTGAAGGCGAATTTCCGAAAAGAAAATTCTTTAGTTCAATTCGCATTCACTCTCATACATACATTAGTTTCCTGAAAACCGCACAAAATTATATGTATAATTATGGTTAAAAGCCGTTTGTTTACAGCCAGTACAAAAATATTTGATATACACACGCACGCGCGCGCACACACCCACATACACACACACACTCTCTCTCTTTCACCCACACACATTATTTAAAGATATATTTTAAAAAAATATAACAATAATAACAACAGGATGCTTTATTTAAGAATAATTACGAATTTACATAGTATGAAAAAGCTACATAAAAGCATATACGGCTTGGATATCCGTCAGCCGGAGAATCATACATATAAAGATAATAATAACAAGAATGAAGAAGAAAACTAACGTAAAAAATAGCGACAAAGCAGTATTACATACAAAACAGGAAAAAATGTAATATGTAAATATATATAATTACTTTAAAAATTTAATACCTATATTAAGAGCTGATTTACATAATAAATGAACAAAAATGTGAAACATTTTTTTAGGTTATCATCGTGTATCGCGTACGAACAGCTTTTCCTGACTTTGTGTTTAGAATTGTATAAATCGTTATACAAGGCGAAATATAAGTTAGAGAGCATACACTATGCCTTATTTTATTATATTATTAAAAATTTTGTTTATATCCTTACACTTTTCTTGAAACTTGTAGTAATTTGATTTAAACGTTCTTACCTATTCTACGAATCATTAAAAAAATAATAGCTCATAACAAATGGATTTTGTAGTATTTGTCTATTTTTTATTCGAAAATTTTCATAATAATTTCATCCATTTAAATAAAAACCAGGCAAAGGAAAAATTTAAAAAAAATGTGTCCTATGGACAGTGTATGTAAACACTGTTGTAATAATATTTTTCTTATATATAACATATATTTCAAAGAAGCTTTGAATCTATTGAGTGAATTTTTCAGTGATTGTGCAAAACGTAGATCACTTTAGTTTTCCAAAATCTAGGTTTTGTGGTTGTCTATGACTTTTTTTACGAGGGTATTTTCGCTACAAGGTTATATTAACCCTCGGGTTGCGGTGTTTTTGTCGCTTCGGTGGTACATATACTAAAATTGGAACGATATAAAGAAGATTAGCATGGCCTCAATTTAATGTTTAGTTTTTGTTTTGTTCTTTACTAGTATGGTGTGTTGTTTCTACCATCTCTGTGTTATCGTTCAAACACATTAAAGGCGTATTATGCTGTTTATATCTATGCTTCAATTTATAACCAAAAAATGATTTACGAATATGAACTTAACGATAAAAGCCTAAAGTCGCATACTTGCAACTTTTGGCGCAACGTTATGTCCTAGTGACAGTGATAAACCTATTGGGAAAACTTTCATTAAAATAAGCGCACATTAATCAGTCCGATACCCTTGTTATCAGGTTCAGTAATGTCTTCGTATAAATTGTTTCTTTTAACGAGAAAAGAAAAACTCGATATAACGGTACGAGCTTTGTTCCGGGTTAATTTTGAAGATGTGAAACGAGTTCCATTTTTTCAAATACCGTTGGATTTTATCAAACTGTCATGGTCCTAACAAGAGTGCGCACTGGGCCAGAAAAGTATTCACGTTCCTGAAGGTGACTAATGAAGCAATATCCTACCTTCAAACACGTTATAAATAACCGAGTTTATTATGACAATCGGAAACTGCTTGAAAGTGGATTACTTTTTCCTCAAACGGTTACCATGAACGAAAAATGGAAAAAGATTTTCCAACAAGCCTGGATAATTTAGCATAGATCTTTCAAGTGAGGTAGCTTTAATTTCTGGCCGCTGCATGAATTGCAAGGAATTTAGGTATTGTTTATCGTAGCAATCTTGGATTATTGACTAAAAAGTTCAGTGAAAATTTAGACGATAGTAAATAAGACTTTAATCTCCTTTTTAACCGAGGCTGGTTTCTGCCTTATTGCCATCTTATTTTCTGATTCTCTGTGACACCCCAGTTTAACGATCATGGACAAAAGGCATTTCACCGATACATGTAACGAATTTTTTATCAATTTAAAATTAATTTTTTGACCTTTAAATTTCTCATTCACCTACCCTCTTCCTGAAGGAGATCCCTTACCCGCTCGGAACAATACTTTTCTGATAGTGAAACAGTTAAAAAATCTGTTAAAAATTAGCCCTCGCTTTCTCTTTGATGTGCACATCATTGGTGATTTATTCAATTTAAAAACATATTCGTCTCATTTACGATTAGACTACATCTCTGTTATTTTCATGGCTTTGAGATGATCTGCCTGTTCAATTCACAAGGCGTAGGGAAAGATAGCTCCAGCACATTCCAGAAACCCGGGCCTTAGCACGACACTTAAGGATAGCCTTCTAGACTTGCCGTTAGTACGTTACATTACGCTAGCTGTACGCTCGTTGAGGAAATTTTGGAATCATGTTCTTTGACATTTTGTGTTCCTAAGCTGTTAAAGTTTAGCTGGCCACCACTGTATTCTAAGGCCACTCCACCTTCCAGTGCTCTACGCTCTCTAAAGCTCTAAACCAGCGCATATCAAAGAGCCTTGTACAGTCTGCAATAAAAAGGAATAATAATTACAACTGCTGATCGATCCTATACTGTCATTTTCGTTAGGTGATCTACAAACAGCGTGGAGCAACAACAGATGCAAGTGAATAAATCAATTTGAAAACATCATCTTTTATATTTATAAGCCACTTTTTACCTTCCAGACTTATTGAATTATTGTTTAGGTAAAAGTGACTTCCTAGATCAAAATTTAAAATTTTCTACAGAAGGTATTTTTCATTATTGCCTACAGTATTAGAAATGTCGATCACTTTTTCACCATCCTCTGAATCAAGGGATGGAATTGAAGAAGAAAGCAAATTTTAGTTTTTACTGCCAATTTTTCGGCCTATTTTAAGGTCATCGCCAGAGCAAAACAATCTTATATATGATTACATATTGACATATTTTTTTACAGGCGATCTCAAATTTCCTTAAAGACTGACTCAGTCCCATCATTGCCGAAGATTGTAACAAAGTAATTTAACAGTAAGGAAAGTTACAGTCCTTGGCAATGTTGGATCTTAGTCGCTGGCCGTAACACAAATGCAATGAAGTGGATGGGGTACGACACAAAAGCTTGATATTCAAATAAAAAGCGTATGAGAAGATTATTTGGATGTCGTGAGATGCGGTCTAGTGTGACGTAGGTTTTAGAAAAACAATATCTTTATCGTGCCAACGTTTCGATCTTTATTGAGATCATCTTCAGAGCTCAGACAAGAATGACACATCTACACGGAAAAGAAACACTTTGAGCCTCTGAAGATGATTTTCATTTGACATTTTGATGACATTTTCTTTATCGTGCCCTGAAGAAGATCTCAATAAAGATCGAAACGTTGGCGCGATAAAGAAAATGTTTTTCTAAAACCTAAGTCACACCAGACCGCATCCCACGACTTCAAAAGAATCATTAAGTAACGGTCACTAAACACCACACATTTTTACGCGAATGAGAAGGTTGAGCCCATCTCATAAACAACTGGCTGCCCACATTTAACGAACTTATTTTAATCAAGGATCATTTTCAGTACCTCAAGAAATTAAGCCTGAAAATCCTTAGCTGATAAACATAGTGTGCCAATACTATATAAAATATAGATATATGTGCAGTATATATAGAGTATATGTGCAGAACTGAGCGAAAATTAATCGAAAATCGTCAAGGGTGCTTACAGGCAAGACGTACATACGCGTTTTCAGCGATTTTATTTTCGACTACGGCTCTAGGATTCGTGGTTTCAATTTTTTTAAATATTTACAATTCTTTATAAATAGTGAGGAAAGTTAGAGTAGTAAAAAGAGCATTAACGTGAATGTAGGCGAGTGGAGGGAAAGATGAAAGGATTAAACAGTTGCAATGTGGTACCTTAAACTTAAATAACTTTAATGTATTAACTTCAGTTTTATTATAGAATTGTTCATATTTTCACGTGTATAAACTTATAAATTATAACCTTACATATTTCAAACCTTATCTGTCTTAAAAAGTTGATTTAAAGGGAGATTTTATTAAAGTTAATTAAGATTGGCAGATGGTTAGATACCAATAGGATCATCCCCTAAGGCCCATTCAAGGTTGCAAGCAATACTGGAGTTACAGACAGTTATGTCAACAGCAGATGCGACTCTGTGTGTGATTGATGATACCAGTGTTGGTTCTCCATTGTTCCAGAACACTAAATTCGTTTACTGCGTCTAGGAGACGTCGATTTTTCTTATCCGGGAAACTATTTACAAATGCTGAGTGATGACAATTAGTCTCCGCAGATTATTTAGAGTTTTGGGAGATGTTTTACAAACGAATACCATTCGTTAAACGATATGGCTTTTTACGGGATGTTGTATCTTGAAATTATGTTAACATATTGTCCATTTTTAGTCGGAAATTTTGCAACAGCACATATAACATTGCTAGTACATGCCGGAATTGTATATGGGATGTTTTTAATTCACCGTCTTCCATCTACCCCATCATTTCTAATAATATTGTAATCTTATTATTACTCTTATTATTACTAATGCAGGGCAGCTGGATTCGAACCCGGGACCTTTACCTTACAGTGATGAGCGCCGTGTCAACGCCTAAACCTCTGCGGCCACCGACGCCCCCATATTACTCTTAATTCTAATAATATT